CGCGGCGCCTGGGCTCGGAGGAGCAGCGCCAGGTGCTCGGCCTGCTGTGCCGCGTGCACGAGCTGGAGGTGGAGGTCACCGAGATGCAATCGCACGCGCTGCTCCGGGACGGCGCCTGGCGCCACCGCCGCGAAGCCGTGCGCCGCCTGGAGCAGCACCGGAGCCTCTGCGAGGAGATCATCCAGGGCCAGCGTCAGATCATCGAGGGTAGGACCCGCGCCCGGGACGGGGGGCGCGGGGGGGTTGCAGGGGGGGGAGGGCGAGGCGATCCCCAGGCCCGCGCTGAGACCTCCCCGCGCCCCTCCCGCAGACTACAACCTGACGGTACCCCCGCACCTGGAGGCCCTCTATGAAGTGTACCTGCGCGAGCTGGAGGACGGCAGCCTCGAGCGGGCCGCCATCGTGGACCGCGTGGCCTCCAGGGCCCTGCAGGTGGGCGCCGGGGCAGGCCCAGACACCCGCGCTGTGCCCACGGAAGGGCCCCCACGCAAGGCACAGCCTGCCTGCAGGTGGCTGCCGCCACCCTGGACCAAGCTGGTTCCCTTGGAACCCCAGGGAGCTGATTCCAGCCCCTCCTTGCCACGCCCTGAACCATGCCACGCCCAGCAAGGTGCCCCACCCGCACCCCCACACTTCTCTCAAAACACTTGGCCCTGTCTGTCCAAGATCAGAGGGTTCAGGGGAGGCCGTCTGAGAAGGCCCCTCACCAGCTCAGCGGAGCGTGCCTGTAATCTCAGCACTTGGAAGGGCTGAAGCAAGAGGCATGCAAGTTCAAGGCTAGCCTGAGTTATCCTGTTTATTTTTGTGCCAATGCCGGGGCTTGAACTCAGGCCTTGGTGCTGTCCCTGAGCGTTTTCAGGGCGGACACTCAACCACCTTTTGGCTGGTTAACTGGAGGTAAGCATCTCATGGACGTTCCAACCCAGGCTGGCTTTGAACTGGGTCCTCAGATCTTAGCCTCCTGAGTAGCTAGGATTACAGGCCTGAGCCACCAGCACCCAGCAACCTTGTTTTAACTGGATAAATAGAATACCAAGAAAACAATGGCCCCAGGTCCTTGTAACCCCATGTGGGTGCTGTTATGGGCTCCAGGATCAAGTCTTCTGACTCCCCCTCTTCTCCCCCCCCCCCAGGACAGTTCTTTGCCCAAAATTACCCCAGCAGGAGCCACACTGACCCCAGACTCTGATCTGGAGAGTGTAAAGACAATAAGCTCCGAAGCCCAGCGCCCACAGAACAGCACCCTCCCACCTCTCTGCACGGACAGGTGAGCCAATTCCTGCTGGGCCCTGACCTGGGATTGCCAGTCCAGATACCGGCCAGGCAGGAAGGCTGGAGCCAGGACAGGGAGAGGGTGGCTGGGGGCTGGAGAAGGATTCTTTGGTACGCTCTCTGGTGGCTCCCTCTGCTGGTGGTGGCAGGGAACCTCAGCGTGACCAGTCTGGTCAACAGCCCTCCTTCCTCCCTGCCATCCTCAGTGAAGCCCACCACATATTCAAGGCCAATTCTCGAGCCTGGCAGGTGAAAGGCTCTTCTGTGCCCACTCCACCACCCATCCAGATCGGCAGCCTAGTGGCCCAGGAGGTGAGCTCTGGATACCACCTGGGGCTGGGCAGTCACCCAGCATTTGGGATGAACCCTGTCCCATCTTTGTTGACTGGGGTGCAGGGGTCCTTGCTGTGTTCAAGCCCTTCTTCTTCCCAAATACTACACTCCAGCCCCCTCCGGACAGCCTGGGCAGCCGGATCAACTCTTCTCCAGATAGCAGCGAGAATCTGTCGGAGATTCCCTTATCCCACAAAGGTACAAGTGCGCACCTGCCTGGTCTAAAGGCTCAGATCAGTCCAGCCAAAGCCCTTTTCTGCCCTGAGCCTGGCTGAATGCGCAAGTGTCCCGAATACTTTCTAACCTAGAGAGCCATCAGCGCCCCACAGAGGACTGGCTGTGTATCAGCAGTTAGTAAAAAATCTGCACCTGCTCCAGGGCAGAGATGGGGTTACAATCAGAAATCACATTGGAAGCATCTGACTGGTTGCTGGTGGCTCACACCTGTAATCCTAGCTACTGAGGAAGCTGAAACTTGAGAATCAAGGTTCAAAGCCAGCTCATGCAGGAAAGTCTGTGTGACTCTTATTTCCAATTAACCACTAAAAAAAGGTCAAAAGCAGAGTTGTGGCTTAAGTGATAGTATTGCTAGCTTTGAGAAGAATGGAAAAAAATACCCTCAGGGACAGCACCCAGTTCCCAAGTTCAAGCCCCAGGATCTGCACAAAAATGAATACATAAATAAAATAGAATGGAAGCACTTAGGGCCACACACCTCCTTCTGCCGAGTAATTAATTGCAATAACAAATGTTAATTGAATCTTGCTCCCTGAGATAAGATTGACTAAACCCATTGGTCAGCCTTAATAACACCAGGGAATTAGTTGTGGCATCTTCAGTTTAGAGATGGAAGGTGACAGTGTGCCCCAAGTGGCAAGCAAGTAGGGGTGTTAGGGATGAAACCCAGGGGCCCTGGCTACTGCTTATTTCTGCCATGGTAAAGGAGGGGTGGTGGGAGATGGCCTTGATCTCCAAGTGAAACTCTTGTCTGCTGTAGAGAGGAAAGAAATCCTGTCCAGCACCAAGTGCATCTCAGTGAAGGCTGCCGGCCGTCGATCTCGGGCCCTGGGCGCAGAAGGGCGCCACCTGCTGGCACCTGCCACAGAGTGCAGCAGCCTGTCCCTGCACTCCCTGAGCGAGGCTGATGATGCTCGGCCACCAGGCCCACAAGCCTGCAAACGACCCCCCAGCCCCACGCTTCAGCATGCTGCCAGCGAGGACAACCTGTCGAGCAGCACAGGCGAGGCCCCTTCCAGGGCCAGAGGGCATCGAGGCGAAGGCCCAGGGCCCTGGCTGCGAGGCCAGAAGAAAAACCTGGGCAAGAAAAGGGAGGAGTCACTGGAGGCCAAAAGGAGGAAGCGGAGGTCCCTGTCTTTTGAGGTCACAGGCCATGGGGTAAGGCAAGGGGCAGAGGCGAGGTGTCTGGATCCCTTTCTTGTGGGTGGGGGGCCTGAGGGCCAGATTCCTCCAGAAGTCCCAGGGTACTTCAGCCTTGCACAACAGCAAGAGGCTCCACCTCAGCAGGGTGGCAGGGGCAGAGCTTGTAGTAGAGCCCTACACAGCTCTCAGCCTCACCTCCCTATTCTTCAACCACACAGCTCTCTCGCTCCAAGACGCATCTCCTCAGGGCCCGTCCCTTGGAGGACATCTTAGACCACAAGATGCCGGTATGTGGGCACCCAGCCCCTGGTATCAGGCATCTGGGAAAAGTCACCATGCCTTTGGCCCAAGTCAAACTCTCTCCAAGCCAGAACCCAGGTTAGTACGAGCACGGGAGGCAGTGGGAAAGGAGAGGTCTTAGCCAGCCCAGGGAGGAGACCACGATTCTCTAGCATACTTGGAGGATGGGGCCCTCAGGGAGTTTGAGGCCACTGGGTGATGGGGGGGAGGGAATGGGCTGAAAGGCATTCCTGATCATGACCTTTCCCCTTTGCAGGATCTGGGGATGCTTCCTCCCTTGCTGGTCCCCCCAACCCAGCTGGCATTTCCCGGAGACGAGCCGCTCGAGGGCCCAGCCTGCCCCATGGCTCAAGAAAAGATGGACACTTCCGGCATAATTGAGGGAACTTACAAGAACCAGCTACTGCTTCCCATCCCCCGGGCAGAATGGGGTACAGCAGGAAATAGGGGAGGCTGTGAAGGCAGGAGCTCAGAGGCTATGACTCCTGAGACTCAAGAGCTGTGAAGGTGTCAGCTCAGCCCTTCTGGGTTTTCAGTGTCAAGGGATAGGGAGGATGCTGGGGTGCCGGACCCCTGGCCTCCAGTCCTGGCCAGAACACGGTTGCCAAAACCCTGCACAAATCTGTGGCCTGCCTCGGCCTTGGCAGAGAGGAGCTGTTAGTGTGCTGAGGCTGCTGGGCAGACCCCTTGGATGAGGGCATCTGCGTGGGTGGGGAAGGGGCAGCCAATATGGTACCTCACAGGCAGTTGAAGGTTGGGAGTGAATCTGGTTTTGTTACGTGGTAGTGGCTTTTATTCACCTTCCTTTTTAACAATAAAGTCCCATTTGGGTTTTGATGGCTGTGTGGGAAACTAGACCTTGTCTGATGTGGGTGGGATATTTGGCTATTTACCCAGCTCATCCCTTCAGTGTTCATATGTGCCCAGGTCCCCTCCCAGGAGAGAGATCAGAGGCTTGACTTGTACTGCAGAAAACCCCAGAGTGGCTGTCCTGCTATGTCAGGGCTCAGAAACTGTCCAGCTCGACTCCTTAGCTTCAAGATGAGAAAACTGCCTGGCCCAGGGGCCATTTGGATGTTCTTGCTGATCTTGATGCATTCTGGGGACAGGCCTTAGGGAAGAGCTCAGTGAAGGGTGGAGGAACCTCAGACTGGTGGAACCCTTGGGAGCGTGGCTTTTTACCAGGGACTGGTGGCCCGATCATCCTGGCTTCCCTGTGATCATTGGTTTAAGAGCACCCCCTTCAGGTTTAATAGGAAATGAGTGCCTGAGATCAGGCATCTGGTCTACCATGGCTCTACAGCATTTCCTGCTAGCGGCCATGGGCTGGTACTGACCGTCCCCCTCCCACCCCCGGGGATGGAGACGGGGCGGGGAGGTGACACTGGCTGATCGATAATTCCATGCTGGCGTTTCCCCATCCCCAAGCCCTAATGCCACCCCGCTCAGGCCTTTATTTCCCAGTCCGGATGAGAGTGTGGTAGACGGGCTTGACAATGAGGTGCAGGTGCAGCGCGTTCTCCACCAGGAACTCGGAGTTGCGCCTCTGCAGGTCGGCGTGCGCCAGGAAGTCGCCGGCCTCCTCGCTACTCTGATGGAAACTGTAGGTGTGGCGGACGAGCAGGCGCCCCTGCTGGCGCGCCCCGACCAGCACGGTCTTCTGGAAGCTCACGCCGGCCGCGTCGCCGCCGCTGCTGGCCGGGGTGACCACGAGGCGCGG